GTGTAAGGTTTTTATCCTCTTCAGTACTTTACAGAGAAACTACAGATGCCCCCCATGTAAATGTTCAGATATAATAAAGTCGCCTATTTTATCAGCTCAAAAATAGTTTTACTAGATGGAGCGCCCATTCTTACCAGTTTTGAACTTTCCTGTCAGTGTACAAATCTCTCTAGAGGCCGTATTTCTGTGGTGTACATCCTTCTTGCTGATCCAAACTGTAACTCCCCTATATGGATCAATGGGAACGGGACCTGAATGTTAGTTATGATCTACCTGATTGGCAAGACATAGCCCTGGAATTATCTAAAGATTCCATCATTACTACCTGAATTGAAGCAAACTATAAAACTATTGTGATGGTACCGGGTCCCAACTCAGACAGCGAGGACCATCCTTCTGCCTCACCAATGTGCTTTCAGTGTAGCGGCCAGATGGGTTCTATGTTCCACGTTTGGTGGCAATGTCTGATAGTTACTAGATTTTAATTCTGCATGTCTAACCTTATGTACAGGGTGATGGGGGTTAATGTTGGTAGGGCCCTGGAATCCGCCCTCTTCCATAAATTTCAGTACCAAAAAATACCCTTAACCACTTGCCAACCGCATATAGCTAAATGACGGCTTCACTGCGGCCGGCCAGTTCTGGGAGGGCGTCATATGACGTCCTCCCAGAACACGCCCTCTCACGTGCCCCCAGAGGCACGCACTCTGCAATCTCCATGATGGCTGTGTGCTATGGACGCAGCTGATCACATGATGTGGTAAAAGGCCAATCACAGTGGCCTTTTACCACGTGATCAGCCGTGTCCAATGACACAGTAGATCACCGGGAAATGAAGTAACCAGTTATCAGCTGCACTTTCCTCGCGCTGTCACGGTGTGAGGAAAGTACTGCCGATAACCAGCAATTGTCAGAGGAGGGATCGGCACCGATCATCAGGGCGCTAATGATCAGTGCCCAGCAGTGCCGCCCACTTGTGCCCACCATTGCCACCCACCAGTGCCTCCCAGCAGTGTTGTCACTGAGTAGTGCTGCCAGTCAGTTCCCAGCAGTGCCACCAGTCAGTGCTGCCTATCAGTGCTCACCAGTGTCTCCTATCAGTGCTGCCTATCAGTGGCCATCAGTGCTGCCTATCAGTGCCCAACATTGTTTCATATCAGTGCCCATCAGTGCTGCCTATCAGTGCCCAACATTGTTGCATATCAGTGCCCATCAGTGCTGCCTATTAGTGCCCAACATTGTTGTATATCAGTGCAGTATCATCAGTGCCGCTTCATCACTGCCACCTATCTGTGCCACCTCATCGGTGCCACCTATCTGTGCCCATCAGTGCCCATCAGTGCTACCTATCAGTGCCCATCAGTGCCGCCTATCAGTGCCCATCAGTGCTACCTATCAGTGCTACCTATCAGTGCCCATCAGTGCTGCCAATCAGTGAAGCCTCATCAACGCACATCAGTGAAGGAGAACAATTACCTGTTTGCAAAATTGTATATTGGAAACAAAGAAAAACCTTTTTTTCACATTTTTGCTGTTTTTTTTGTTTAGAGCACAAAAAATAAAAACCCCCAGCGGGGAGTAAATACCACCAAAAGAAAGCTCTATTTGTGTGAAAAAAATAATAAAAATGTCATATGGGTACAATCTTGCATGACCGCGCAATTGTCATTTAAATTGCGACAGCGATGAAAGCTGAAAATTGGCCTGGGCAGGAAGGGGGTAGAACTGCCCGGTAGGGGAGGGGTTAAGTGTCTTACTTCTATGCTGTTAGCAGCGAGAATCACTATGGAGAGGGACGGCTGGCATTCCGTGCGCAAAGTACGCATTACGGCGCTAAGTACATCGCACTTCCAACACACGGCAACAAGGGAACATCCCAACATCCTCTCATCATCTCTCCTCTGATCTCCAGGTAACCACTGCTTCCATCGCCCTCTGAAACTTCCTGCTCTAACCGCAACTGACAACTGCCTCCTGTTGCCCCCGTGACCACTGCTTCCATCGCCCTCTGAAACTTCCTGCTCTAACCGCAACTGACAACTGCCTCCTGTTGCCCCCGGTGACCACTGCTTCCATCGCCCTCTGAAACTTCCTGCTCTAACCGCAACTGACAACTGCCTCCTGTTGCCCCCGGTAACCACTGCTTTCACTGCTCTCTCTCAATCGCTAAGCTACTTTGCATGCCTGAAATTATCTACATTGTTAGATTGTTTCTGTTTTCTTTGTAACTATTGTGTATACTTCCTGTATGACGTGACCTGAGCCTCATAGAGCCTCATAGAGCCACATAGAGCCTCAGCTGAGATCAGACACCTTGCCTTACCTTGTGTCCATCCTGCCTGTATATTGTTAAGGGCAGAACCCCTCCCCCATGTGTCATTTATTAGTTCTTAATTGAACGATTGCGTAACCTCCCCCCCTCCATCCAAGTATAAATTCAGTACAGTCCGGGGGACAGCTGACAAGGGAGAGGCTGGCATTCCTTGCACAAAGTACGCATTACAGCACTAAGTACATCGCACTTTCAACGCGGCACTTTAACTAAAGCAAGTACAAACATTAGTGCTCCACCTCAAGTAGATTGCATGTGCTCTTCCCTCTCCTCCCTCTCTTCCCTCTACTCCCTCTCTTCCCTCTCCTTCCTCTCTTCCCTCTCCTCCCTCTCTTCCTCTCTCTTCCCTCTCTCCCTCTCTCTTCCCTCTCCACCCTCTCCTCCCTCTCTTCCCTCTCCACCCTCTCTTCCCTCTCCTCCCTCTCTTCCCTCTCTTCCCTCTCTTACCTCTTTTCCCTCTCTTCCCTCTCTTACCTCTTTTCCCTCTCTTCCCTCTCTTCCCTCTCCTCCCTCTCTTCCCTCTCCTCCCTCTCTTCCCTCTCTTCCCTCTCCTCCCTCTCTTCCCTCTCCTCCCTCTCTCTCCCTCTCTTCCCCCTCTTACCTGTCCTCCCTCTCTTACCTCTCTTCCCTCTCCTCCCTCTTCCCTCTCTTCCCTCTCCTCCCTTTCCTTCCCTCTCCTCCCTCTCCTCCCTCTCCTCCCTCTCTTCCCTCTCTTCCCTCTTCCTGCCTGCCTTCGTTTGTTATCTCTCTTCTCTCCAGCATGCTCTCGCTAGCTCTCTCTGTTGCTATAATGCCCTCTCTTCTTAAACTCTCTCTTGTTTCCCCCCCCCCCCCCCACAACCTGTACATCACCACTCCTCACTATCACTGCACTTATCCTGCTCTCCATATCACTGCACTTATCTCCTGCTCTCTCCATATCACTGCACTTATCTCCTGCTCTCTCCATATCACTGCACTTATCTCCTGCTCTCTCTTGGTCCACATAATGTCACCGCTACAAAATCACTGCGACATCTGCCCTCATATAAATCTCACTCCCACCTCACCTCCCTCACCCTCCTATTACTACTAACTTCTGGAGACATTGCCCCAAACCCTGGCCCTCCACCATCAAACTCCAACCCACAGAAGCAGCAACCTCCCCTCTTCGGCCACAGCCGCAACCCTCACTCTCTCATCTAAATCCCCCTGCTTCCAAGCACCAGCCCCTCCCTCCTATGTGCCCTCTGGAATGCCCGCTCAGCATCTCTACTATCACTGACCTCTTCCTCTCCCACTCCCTCAACCTACTTACTATTACTGAAACCTGGCTCCAGGATTCCGACTCTGTCTCCTCAGCTGCACTCTCCCATGGCGGCCTCCTCTGGACTCACACACCCAGACCCAGCGAATGAAAAGGGGGTGGAGTCTGAATTCTTCTTTCCCCACAAAGCATGTTCCAGGTTCTTCCTGCGCCTCCGTCTCTGTCCCTCCGCTCTTTTGAAATGCACTGTATTCGTCTCTTTTCTGCTGTTTGTCTGAGGATCGTAGTCATCTACTAGCCCCCGGGCCCAGTGTCACGCTTTCTCAATGACTTTTCAGCATGGCTTTCTCTCCTCTGAGGTGCCCGCCATCATCCTCGGTGACTTTAACATCCCAGTCAATGTTCACACCCCTGCCACCTCTCAACTACTCAACCTAACTTCCTCATTATACCTAACACAATGGTCACAATCCACCATCCACTCCAATGGCAACACCCTTGACCTTGTATTCACCCACCTCTGCACTGCCTGTAACCTCTCTAACACCCCTTTACTCTCTCTGATCACAACTTTATCAGCTTCACACTCTCCCTGCCTCCTACCTCCCTGCCTCCTACCTCCCATGCCTCCTACTTCCCATGCCTCCTACCTCCCATGCCTCCTACCTCCCTGCCTCCTACTTCCCATGCCTCCTACCTCCCATGTCTCCTACTCCCCATGCCTCCAACCCTCACATGCCTCCTACCTCCCATACCTTCAACCAGCAAACCGTTACCTGTAGAAACCTCCATCACCTCAGCCCTGACCTTCTCCACTCTACTACTGAGCGCCTCTATGATAAAATTGCACCCCTGTCCTGCCCAGAGCTGGCCACATCTGCCTACAACAACTATCTATCATCCTCCCTGGATGCTCTTGCTCCTCTCTACACGCCAAACCAGGCCTCGCCTGTCACAACCCTGGCAAACAGATGACACCAGAAGTCTCAAGAGACGCAGCAGCACACTCTTGAATGAGCATGGCGTAAAACTAAATTCCTGAAATTCCTGAAATCCGCTCTTCTCAAATACATCTCCAGCCTCCACGCTGCTAAGCCAACCTACTATAACACTCTCAAGACCCTCTCATCCAATCCTCATCAACTCTTCTCTACCCTTAATTCCATACTCCACCCTCCACTGCCTCCACCCACCAACTTACTGCACAGGAGATTGCCAGTCACTTCAAAAGAAGATCAACACAATTCATGATGAGATCTCCAGTGTCAAGCTTCCTCCTCTAACCAACATACCAGGCCCAACACCAAACTCTACACTCTCCTCCTTCGACCCTGTTACCACCAAGGAAGTTACCGAACTCCTTTCCAAGGCCCGCTTCACCACCTGTCCCCTGGATCCTGTCCCCTCACGACTGTTGCAGCCTCCTTCCTGCTCTATCCTAAGCTCTCTAACCCACATCTTCAACCTATCACTCTCCATGGGCACCTTTCCCTTCCCGAGCAAACATGCACTGGTTACCCCCATCCTCAAAAAACCCTCACTGGACCCCAAATGTTTGTATAACTTAAGACCCATCTCCCTGCTCCTGTTTGCCTCCAAGCTTCTCCAGCGCCTTGTTCACAAATGTATAAACTGCTACCTCACCAACAACAACCTTCTTGATCCCCGACAGTCTGGCTTCCGCCCACAACATTCCACAGAAACTGCCCGACTAAAACTCACTAATGACCTACTAACTGCTAAAACCAATGGCCATTACTCCATACTATTCCCAACCAATGGCCACTACTCCATACTCATCCCAACCAATGGTCACTACTCCACACTCATCCCAACCAATGGCCACTACTCCATACTCATCCCAACCAATGGCCACTACTCCATACTCATCCCAACCAATGGCCATTACTCCATACTAATCCCAACCAATGGTCACTACTCCATACTAATCCCAACCAATGGTCACTACTCCATACTCATCCCAACAATGGCCACTACTCCATACTCATCCTAACCAATGGCCACTACTCCATACTCATACTCCTTGACCTTTCCACTGCCTTTGACACAGTCAACCACCCGCTCCTCCTCAGTAAACTCCACTCCATTGGCCTCCATGACTCTGTTCTCTCCTGGTTCTCCTCTTACCTTTCTCAGCGCACTTTCAGTGTCACATACAACTCCTCCTCCTCCGATCCTCTTCCTGTTGGGGTTCCCCAAGGCTCTGTCCTTTGACCCCTCCTTTTCTCTCTCTATACCTCCTCCCTGGGCCAACTGATAACCTCCCATGGCTTCCAATACCACCTCTATTCTAATGACACCCAGATCTATCTCTCCACTCCCCAGCTCACCCCCTCAATCTCCTCACGTATCACAAATCTACTGAGCGACATATCAGCATGGATGTCACATCACTACCTTAGACTCAATCTTTCAAAAACTGAGCTGTAATATTACCTCCCCCCGATCCCCCACTCATGACTTTCCCATCAAGATCAACAGAACAACCATTGGTCCTTCCCCTCATGCCAGGGTGCTAGGTGTAATCCTAGACTAAGACCTCTCCTTTGGGCCCCACATCCACTCGCTGGCTAAATCCTGCCACCTCAACCTCCAGAACATTTCCAATATCCGCCCCTTCCTGACCAATGACACCACAAAACAACTTATCCGTGCCTTGGTTATATCCCGCCTCCATTACTGCAACTCCCTCCTCACTGGTCTTCCGTTACACAGGCTATCCCCCTTCAGTCTATTATGAATGCTGCTGCTAGACTCATACACCTTACCAACCGATCAGCGACTGCTGCTAGACTCATACACCTTACCAACCGATCAGCGACTGCCGCTAGACTCATACGCCTTACCAACCGATCAGCGACTGCCGCTAGAGTCATACACCTTACCAACCGATCAGTGACTGCCGCTAGACTCATACGCCTTGCCAACCGATCAGCGACTGCCGCTAGACTCATACGCGTTACCAACCGATCAGCGACTGCCGCTAGACTCATACGTCTTACCAACCGATCAGCGACTGCCGCTAAACTCATACACCTTACCAACCGATCAGCGACTGCCGCTAGACTCATACACCTTACCAACCGATCAGCGACTGCCGCTAGACTCATACACCTTACCAACCGATCAGCGACTGCCGCTAGACTCATACACCTTACCGACTCGCCGCTAGACCGATCAGCGACTGCCGCTAGACTCATACACCTTACCAACCGATCAGCGACTGCCGCCAGACTCATACACCTTACCAACCGATCAGCGACTGCTGCTAGACTCATCCACCTTACCAACCGATCAGCGACTGCTGCTAGACTCATACACTTTACCAACTGATCAGCGACTGCTGCACCTCTCTGCCAATCCCTCCACTGGCTTCCACTAACCCAACATATAAAATTCAAAATACTAACCACAATTTACAAAGCCATCCACAATCCTGCCCCTAGCTACATTACCAATGTGATAAAACGTGGGATCCGTGGATTCCATACATCTCCATGCCCTAGTACTTCCTGATTTGGCTCCCCTCTCCTCTCCTCCCCTCTCCTCTCCTCCTCCCCTCTTCCCTCTCCTCCCCTCCCCCTCTCGCTCTCCTCTCCTTCCCTCTCCACTCCTCTCCTCTCCTCCCCCTCCCCTCTCCTCAACTCCCCTCTCTTTTCCTCCTCCTCCCCTCCCTCTCCTCCCCTCTTCACTCTCCTCCCCCTCCCCTCTCCTCTCCTCCTCTCCTCCCCTCCCCCTCTCCTCCTCCTCTACCCTCTCCCCTCTTCCCTCTTCCCCTCCCCTCTCCCATCCTCCTCCCCTCTCCTCTTCTTTCTCCTCCTCCTTCCTCTCCACCCCTCTCTCCCCTCTCCTCCTCCTCCTCCCCTCTCCTCCTCTACTCTCCTCCCCTCCTCCTCTTCCCCTCCTCCTTCCTCCCCTCCCCCCTCCTCCTCTCTCCTCCTCCTCTCATTACTGTTACCCTCTTTTCTTCCTTTCTGCTGTCTCTTTTATTTTCCCATGTTCTGGTGCTAGTTGAGTTCCATGTTGTATGTGTTGTGCACTATGTGTGGTGTGTATGATGAATGCTCTGTGTGATCCATATGTCTCCTATTATTGCTTCCCCTGTACAAGGTGGACTTAATGCTGGGAATGTTCTATGTGACGTCTCCAGTCATTATTGCACACATTTCCTGCTTCCCTGCGGGATGTCTGTTGTTTATTCATCCGCCTGTTTGTTGGGGAGATTTCATACCTTATTTTATAACATGACACTTGTCTGTTACATTTTCTGTAACTTGAAAAATTTCAATAAAGATATTGGAAAATAAATAGTTGGTTGCATAAGAGATAGATTTATTTTTTCTCAGTTTTTTTTTTTAGTTATTTTTGATCTTTCGTGAAAACCACAGGAACGGTTATTTTAATGTTTCTCAGGGCTGCAGTTCCTCTGAGCTCCACAAGGTGGTGATCTCACTTCTATCCAGAAAGGAAGTTATTGTAGAACACAGACAGGAAGTGATGTCAGGTACACACAGGAAGTGATGTCAGGCACAGACAGGAAGTCATCTGGAATAAAGACAGAAAGTTCCATGTGGCACAAAGAAGAGGAGACATTGGTGGAAGTGGCAGCAGCAGAGGAGGTAATAAGATGTTATGTTCTATTTACACAGACCAGTAACCCCCCCATCATGTCTGTCCTCTTCCTCCGTAGCCATGTCCGTCCTCTTCCTCCGTAGCCATGTCCGTCCTCTTCCTCCGTAGCCATGTCCGTCCTCTCTCCCTCCATAGTCACGTCCACCCTTCTTCCTCCATAGTCACGTCCGTCCTCTTCCTCCATAGTCACGTCCGTCGTCTTCCTCCATAGTCACGTCCCCCCTCTTCCTCCATAGTCACGTCGGTCCTCTTCCTCCACAGTCACGTCGGTCCTTTTCCTCCACATTCACGTCGGTCCTCTTCCTCCACGGTCACGTCGTCCTCTTCCTCCACGGTCACGTCCGTCCTCTTCCTCCTCCATAGTCACTGTGACGTCTTTTATCTCCAGCAGATGATGATACACACATATATAGTGTGGGAACCCAGATTAAACCCCTTCAGGGGCAGAACATTCCCCCACTTCCGGGGCCGGAACATTCTCCTCATTGTGGAGATAAATTCTAGTAATATGGTCCTCTAAACAAACAGCACTGACAATAAATAGACAAGACAAGGACCATCCTGACCATACATGGCCTACAAAGGGCAATGATGACACTACACAGGCAGCCAATGGGCAATCATTACACTATGCAGCCAACACAATGATGGAGTGCCGGGGTCAGGAGTATGGAGCATAGAGCCCCTTACATTGCTGCTCAGGAGGAAGAAAACATTCCCCAGCCGGCCATGAAGAATATGTTCCATCATTGGTGTCAGAGGGAGGGAAATACTGAGGGGTCTGAGGGAAGTAGAGGAGCTGAGGGGTCTCTCAGGGGTTACTGAGGATGGGAGACTTTGGGGCCCTGAGGGGGCATAGTGAGTTTAAAGGGTTTTGAGGGGGTAGAGTAGCTGAAGGAATCTGGGTCTTTGATAGGGTTGGTGGGGGAGCAGGGCTCTGAGGAAAGGAAAGTTTGTCAGGCTCAGGGGGACACTGAGGCAGGGAGGGGGGCTCTTGGTCTCTGGTTGTCCTCTTACCTGCACTTACTTTCCAGACCTCCTTACAGAACTCCTACCAGGAAAGGAAGACAACCTTCACCTTCTTACCATCTCACTGGTCAAATAAATGTATTCCAAGATACCAAATGGAATGCAGAAGGACAATCCTTCACCCTTGGTGGGCACTTGTTCTTAGAGGAGGATTCTCGTTGGTGCATTTTTGACTAAAAGGTAGTCAGGGGATCAGTGCTAGACATCTTCAGGAGACACTCCAATACCTTCCCATGACACAGGCTCTGGCAGTGCCCGGTGCTGGAATTCAGAGCCCCAGGAACCCACCACCACTCTGTACAATGTCCTGGATATTACAGTATACTATACTGGTAACCAAACCCCTCCCCCTGCTGTCCTCCTTCTACCCACACTAGGCTGTCATTGGAGGGAAGAGAATAGGCTCCTTCCTCACAGCTCTCTACTCACCAGCACACATCCTCCTGCTATCCCATCCAATCCCTTCTCTTACTGCAGAGAGTGACAGTGACATCACTCCTGTCAGTCAGCAGGCTGCCGGAGATTGGAGCCTTGCAGCCGGAGTTCTGCCAATTGTCCTGATTAGCCAGCAACTCCGGCCAAAAGTCATCAAGTTCCCCTTCCTGGACCTCATGATGAGCCGACATTGACCTCACAGCACTGCCTCAGAGCAAACAAGTCATAGGAGGATCATATTTATCATTCCTTGTCTGCAGATCTAAAACTCATCAAAACCAGTTCAGAGACCAAACAAACCCAACAGAGAAAAGGGGATTTCTGATCTGACAGGTCAAGAGGGTCCCGGGACCTCCAAAATGTAGCAAATACTAAACAGTCCAGACTAAATGTCTTCCCCATGGGGGGAGTAGTTCTTCAATGTCCAGCAACCCTCCTATTCCCCCCTCACATCCACATCCTATTATTGTGTGACCAATACCATCCAAATCATTCTTACTTTCATTTCCCAAAGTTATCCGTCTACAAGGAGACCTGTATAGATCACATGATGGCACCAATGAGGATGGAGGAGGACCGGAGTCACATGACTGAGAAGATACTAAACCTCACCCTGGAGATCATCTACCTGCTGACCGGAGAGGTGAGGGATTCTGGGAGGTCACATGACATCACTCTTATCTCTATTAATAAAACACAGACCTGACCGGAGAGGTGAGGAGGATTCTGGGAGGTCACATGACATCACTCTCATCTCTATTAAAAAACACAGACCTGACCGGAGAGGTGAGGAGGATTCTGGGAGGTCACATGACATCACTCTCATCTCTC